CCAGCTAACCAATCACAGCACATTTCGTATTTCAGAAGGCGGGCCTTCATTTGATACAGGAACTATTCGAGCCGTTCATGTCAGACTGGGGAGAGAGGTGTTGTAATAATGTAAAATATGTGAAAAATAATGTTTTTCGAACAACCTAGTATGAGAGCATGTTCTAATACACCCCCAAAACAAAATCAAGACTTTGTAAAAGAGCATAATAGGACCCCTTTGAATGTACATATTAGCCCCTATATGGTACATACGAGTAACTTTTGAAAGGATACTGCCACACCTTTTTTTTATGAGTGTAGTACTTGTGTTACTGCCGCTTTAAGATGAACTGCTTGTTGTATTCCTCATTTGTAAGTTGATTTGGATAAATGCATCTGCTGAATGAATAAATGTAGAAAAATCTCCTGAATGCATCTTTTAAATAAATTATTACATGAATTATTACTACATTCACATGCATTTTTCCTAAAATGAATTTGAATGTCTGTCATTGTAATTTTCCCCCAGGTCTTCTCTCCTTTGGGGTGAAAGAATCAGCTTGGGTAAACAAAATCTTCACAGCCGTAAACGTGCTTGTGCTGATGTTTGTTATCATTTCTGGATTTGTCAAAGGAGACTCGCTCAATTGGAATATATCAGAGGAATCTCTCATAAATGTTACCATTGTCACAAGGTGAAGAATATCTTTTCAGTTACGTTCTTACTTCTTTTTAGATGTTGATGAATTCAGCCTAATGTGTGAATTTTTGATGATCATAACCATTAAAACGGTAAAATACGCTTACAGGAATCTCTCACACACTGCTAATGTCACCAGTGATTATGGGGCAGGGGGATTTTTGCCTTATGGCTTTGACGGGACACTGGCTGGTGCAGCCACATGCTTTTATGCCTTTGTGGGATTTGATTGCATTGCAACCACAGGTACTGTGGATTCTGTTTTATACAACAGTTAACTTCAGTTCTCCATTCTGATCTTGTGTTCTAAGACTGCTGATATTTGTTTTTGTGACCAGGTGAGGAGGTGAAGAATCCCCAGAGGGCCATTCCCATTGGAATAGTTGTTTCCCTACTGGTCTGTTTCCTTGCCTACTTTGGTGTTTCAGCGGCCCTCACCCTCATGATGCCCTACTACCTGCTGGACGAAAAAAGTCCTCTGCCTTTGGCTTTTGAATATGTGGGCTGGGGGCCTGCGAAATATGTTGTAGCAGCAGGATCACTCTGTGCTCTATCAACCAGGTAAACATCTTTCTTTGCTCCCATAATGCTGTGCTGCTGGCCAAGGCTTCTTACAAGATTGTATATTGAGGCAGCATGCTGATATCAAACACTCCGAATGGTTACATAAAAATGCATTTATTCATTTTGTAATTTGTTTGACATTCAGTTAAACATTTTTTTTCTAAATAATTTGTAAGTTCTTAGTTGGTGAATTGGTTCCTATCCTTTGCATCTCTAATGACTTTTTGTTGGTGATTTGTTTGAAAGAGAGCCATATAAATAATTATACATAGCATTTAATTAATCAGTATTATTATATAAGCTTATTAATTATAATATGATTAAGGTTTATACTTGCTCTCTTTCAGAACAAAATTGTCATGTGGAATGTGTTTTTTTCCTGGTGACATAAATCAGTAAGGACTATTGTTTGGCAATGAGCAACGCTCCATAAAGTGGTATGAATTACAACCCACTAATTTTAACAGTATGTTTATTGGATGATTATTGGATATGCTTGAATATTAATCTTAATTCATCTTAATTATGTTCAAAAACATTCAAATGTGTGATTGATAAATTAAACAAGCTGTTATCCTATTGCTATACACGTTTTATGCCTAAGACCAATCATTTTGATTGTAGCAACTTTTCTTTGAAGACTAGTTTCATTTTATGAATTTACTAAAACATTTTATAGGATACCATGGCCTAGGCCTTGTGCAATAGTCCCAGGGAAAAAAAGAAGATGATTTAACTGTACGTCTTGTCCCATTTGCTAAGTGCTGTATAAAGATGTGCTTCAAATTTTATATTTCCTAAAGTCACCATGAAACAGCCATTTGGCAACCCATATTACTTCTGTAAAGTGTTTTTTAAAGTCAAACAGAATATTTAGAAAGAACATAAGCAAACTTAATTCTGTCCATTGGGAATTAATTTTGTGAAAAATATTGTCTGTATATCCTGTGATTGGAGTGGTGCTGAAAACATAAAAGGGACTGGTGATGTCAGTCAAAAAATGTTTTCCCTATTTTGATTTCATGTTGACTTTAAAAATCATTGTTTGTGGAGGCCTGTAACAGTACACAGCAACTTAAGTGTTTGGGATCAGGTCTGCAGCATGTAATTAATAGGAGTGGGAGAAAAAAATCGATTATCCGATGCATCGCGATTCTCTCTTCAACGAATCGATTCTGAGCATGGTTTTTCCCCGCATATGGCACGTGTGTGCGCTAGAGACAATCGCGGCGGGCTTCATTGCACAGAATATGCGCTGTGAGACACGTGTGCATTGCTTGACAGTGTGTGTTTCCACCCGCCGTTATTTCAGTATTTTACTTTAGATATGCTTTTATTTATGCGTTTTGGAATGCAGTACGTATAAGATGCACGAAACGCATGTACTGACAGACTTTCACCTGTGCTTTGTGTTTGATGTCCTGAAGATCGATCGCGGCTGCGGTTAAATGCACTTGCATCTACGAATACTTTTATACGAAATTGAGGTAAACACAGTTAGCTATGTTTTCAGAACAGGACAAAACATCTGATATATCGAAATAGAATTATGCATTAGTGTGAATGCAGCCTGTTAAAGCTGCCACTGTCTGTGATCTCATCAGTAATAATCAAACAGCAATAATGCTGAGGAAAAAAGAAAAACCCATTACTATGATTGTCTGTAAACTTTCGGATAGCCTACTTAAAGAACACATTTTTAAAATAAGTAATTATTTTAAAAAGTAGACTGCTTATATAATTTAATTAAAAAAATTAAGTAAAATTTGCACAAAATAAATTTGATATAAAATGTATATGAAAATGTAGCCATGTGCAATAATATTGAAAATTGAGAATGTGACGCATCATGATATTGAGTTGAATCGAATCGTTGATATGATAATCGTAATTGAATTGAATCGTGAAACCAGTGAAGATTCACACCCCTATTTTTAAGATGGCATAAAAAAAAAGCATAGAAACTGCAATTTTGTTTAAAATGTAAAGTTGTAAAGATGTATTTGCACAGCAGAAAAATTAATTAGGAAAAAATATAGATCAAGAATCGTTTTGGAATCGGATCGTGACTCCCAGAATCGAAATCGGATCGTGAAGTGCCTAAAGATTCCCACCCCTAGTAATTAATTGACCCCTTGCTTCTGCTGATGTCTTTGCCTTATATGCAGTCTGCTGGGCTCCATTTTCCCAATGCCGCGTGTAATCTATGCTATGGCACAGGATGGGGTGCTTTTCAAAGCGTTAGCCCAAATCAATCCTAAGACGAAGACCCCGCTTATTGCTACAATGTCTTCAGGTGTAGTTGCAGGTGAGAGATGGGGGCACGATTGCTATGCAAATCGCGAATGTGATCCACCAGGCAAATGTGAAAAAGAGCGGAAATGTACAATAAAAGACATGGAAAACATACATCAAATAAACCTTGAAATATCAGGACTTTTAAAAATGGCAACTTCCAGGCCTGGATGAATCAAGGAAATGAATAAAATCCTAAAAAGTCATGGCAGTTCATTGAATATAAATGTCTGTGTATGCTCATATCTAAAATCTTTATACAATTATTTAAAAAAATTCCAATAATTACATATGACTGGAAAAACACAATTGGCTGCACTTGGTCAATATCTGCTCCTTCACATTTGCTGGTGTTGGTTAATATGTTCTTTTCCTTCCAGAGTTGCAGGTATCTGAACCATGACTCCTTTTTTGTTTTTAGCCTGTTGGGCTCTATGTTCCCTCTTCCCCGCATTCTGTTTGCCATGGCACGAGATGGCGTGCTATTCAGATTTCTTTCCAAAGTGAGTAAGCGTCAGTCGCCAGTGGCTGCCACTATGGCAGCGGGCACTACCGCGGGTAAGCAAAGACCGAGGTAGGCCTTGCATGGCCTGCTGTCCTGTTTGTGTCAGCCTGGTGGAGGTGCAGTGTGCTTGCTTAATCGCAGTACACTGTTAATAGATGCATGCTGTCACTGTGGTGTTGGTGGTAAAAATCGCTGGGATTAGACAATATGTGATAAAAACCTCTATGGAAGCTATTTATTGCAAGCAAAAATGATATGTAGAGTGCTTGGTGGTGAAGCTGGCAGGAAAAAGAAAGAAAATCAGTCATCCAGTATAAATTGGAATTATCACAATTTTTAATGTTATTGAAAGAAATCTCTTATGCTCTAGGCTGCATATTTTTACTATATCAAAAATCTAGTAAAAACTGTAATATTGTAAAAACATTATTACAATTTAAAATAACTGTTTTCTATAAATGTAATTTATTCCTGTGATGGAAAAGCTGAATTTTCAGCAGCCATTTAAAAAAATAAATAATTCTGCTACATAATATTTTATGGAAAATGGATATTTGTGATTGTAACTACCACTCAAAAGTTTGGGGTAAGATTTAAAACTTAAATAAATTCATTTTTTGTTTTATTAAGCAAGGACGCATTACATTTATCGAAAGTGACCATAAAGATATTTATAATGCTACAAAAGATTTTTGTTTCAAACAACCATTATTAATAATTATAAACCATTATTAATAATTGAGCACCAATAATAATAATAATAATAATAATGTTTCTTCAGCAGCAAATCAGCATATTAGAATGATTTCTGAAGAATCATGTGACACTGAAGATTGGAGTAATGTTGCTGAAAATTCAGCTTTGCATCACAGGAATAAATTGCATTTAAAAAATATATTACAATAGAAAAGTTATTTTAAATGTTTCACAATATTTCTGTTTTTACTATATTTTTGATCAATTAAATGTAGCCTTGGTAAGCATATAAAACCCTGCTTTTAAAAACATAAAAAATGGCAATTATTCCAAACTTTTGACTGGTAGTACATATATATATATATCTGACTTCATGTGTCAGGTGCAGATGTGAATTACTGCTGACAGCTGCAGGGAGGGATTCTCAGTACTTCACTACAGTGTGGTAATACAGCACTTTGATGCTAGCAGGGGTCACTCAGTGGATGCTTATGGATTCTGAGGACTTCTAAAGAATGAGAAAGCAGAGGGGAAGCTTAGTGAAGGGATGAGGACGCAGGGCAGATAATGGTTTTTGGAGCCCCCTGCACATTAAGCCTATACTGTAGCACTGTATGTTTGTTAGTGTACACGGCCTTCTTACTGTGAGGGAAGTCTAAACAGCTGTATATGAAGTCATAGGGCACATCTGGTGTGAATTTTATCAGAAGATACCAATGCTATTGCATTCTGAGTTTAAAGTCAGACATCCACTAAAGAAGGAATCTGTATTGATTATTGACTTCAATTTCATAGTTCACCAGTCATGCTCTTTAAATTTGTAAGATTTACTTCATTAAATGAACACAAATGAAATAAGAAACCGTGCATGCTCTGTTGGTGTATAATGACCTTTATATATTTTTTACAACTAAGCCACACTTAAAAATGTATGAACGCCATTGCATTAAATTGGAATTTATTTGAATATAACACTTTTCAAGCAAAAAATAAAAACAAAACAATATATACTGTATACTGTTCAATTTTTGGTTGTCACCCTAGCAAGTAATTGCAAACATTGCTTAGAAAATTTACATGAATTATGAGAAAGTAGAGGTATTTAAATTGTTATGCCATGGAATTAATGCATTTGAAGTGTATGTAAACTATTTAATTTATAGAAGTTCTTATAGTTTGTGATATAATAATTTGTGTTTGTTATGCACTTAATGTATTATTTTTAAACTTAATCTGATAAGTGTTTGTTTAATACCAACAGCTATCATGGCTTTCCTGTTTGACTTGAAAGTGCTGGTAGACATGATGTCTATTGGAACCTTGCTGGCATACTCTTTGGTGGCTGCTTGTGTTCTAATCCTCAGGTTAGTGTACATTCAGTGCATTCATTTTCAATCAATCAATCAATAACTTCATGGTGACAGCATTACTATTTGCGATACAGCTGTTAATACAAGTATGCTTCTTAATGATGCAAACCAATAGACTAGTCGGTACAACACTTACAGCAAGAATTATGCAGTGGTCTGCCATCTAGTGGTAATGGCATTTCCCAACTGTGCAAGGAAAAATTGAAATCGCATCATATGACCCCTTTAATGTATATTTCAATGATTTGACTTTGAACATATTTTATATAGACAATTTTCTTGTGATAGTCTCTGTAGAGCTTAAATGATACTGTCACATTTGATGTATTTATCATATTCAACAAAAAGATTTGTTAGTGTTTTAATAATGTTTCTGTTTCTAATGGCATGAAGTAGCTATATAAAATGTGCATGTCAGGTATCAGCCAGATGCTGCGTTTGAGAGGTCTAGGATCAATGAAGGCAAGGAAGAGGTTGGTGAGTCTGAACTGACAGAGTCTGAGTCTCACCTGAACATGCTGAAGGACGGAAGCGTAACCCTGCGCTCTCTGCTCAACCCTCCACTGCTGCCCACTGAACAGACCTCCACTGCCGTCAATGTGTCTGTTATGATCATGGGTTAGTACAGCAGCAGTTCGAGATTGATTTGACAAGTTAGTTTATAAAAATTACGTAGCCGTTCTGATCCGTGTTTGTTTTTCCCTGCAGTGTTTGTTGTGTGTGTTGTTAGCACACTCAACACGTACTACGGACAGGCCATTATTGCTATGGAGCCTTGGGCCCTGGGGGTCTTGGGTGCATCTTTGTTCATCTTCATCATGTGCATGCTTCTGGTTTGCAGACAACCTCAGACGAGGAAGGAAGTTTCTTTTATGGTATGTAGGTTTGAAATCTAACATACTTAACATACAAAAGTTTGGGGTCAATAAGATTTTTAATGTTTTTGTAAGAAGTCTCTTTTGCTCACTAAGGCTGCATCTGTTTGATCAAAAATACAGTGAAAACAGTAAAATTGTGAAATATTACTACAATTTAAAATAACCGTTTTCTAGTTGAATATATTTTAAAATGTCATTTATTTCTGTGATGCAAAGCTGAATATTCAGCAGCCATTACTCCAGACTTCAGTGTCACATTATCTTTCAGAAATCATTCTAATATGCTGAGTTGATAATCAAGAAACGATTCTTATTATTATCAATGTTGAAAACGGTTTATTATTTTTGTAAACTATGAAACATTTCATTCTAGATTCCTGGATGAGCAGCAAAGGTTCAAAAGAACATCATTTATTTTACATATAACTTTTTGTATCATAAATGTCTGCACTGTCACTTTTGATCAATTTAATTAATCCTGCTGAATATTAATTTCTTTAAAAAAATCTTACGGAGCCCAGCCTAAGTTAGTTAATGAGTTATTAATGAGTTTTTCAATAATCAATATTTTTTCTGTATAAATACACAGGAAGATCACACTCTTAAAGGGATAGTTCACCCAAAACTGATCTCCAAAGTTTTTCTTTTCTTTTATGGAACACAAAAAGATGATTTTACCCAGAATGCCGATCTTTTCTATACAATAAAAATTAATAGTGTCCAGTATGAATTCACAAGTCTTAGACTATACTACACAGGTTGTGATGATTGCTGCTATGGTCCTATCACTTTTATTGAATGGAAAAGAGCAGCAACAATCTGCCTAAAATCTAAAATGAAACAATGTGAAGGTGAGTAAATAATGAGAGAATTTTCAATTCGGGGTGAACTTTCCCTTTCATAGACGTACCCAATGTTAAACCATTGCTGCTGTTTATCTTGATGTGTATTCTGCCCAGAACAGCACTGGGTTTTAGGGTAATAGCCTGTATAAAATATCTGTGTTTGCCAAGCATTCTGTGTTCTTTGGAGGACCATATTGTGTGCTATCCCTATCTAACAGGAAAAACAATGTGATATGACCCGAGAGAGCCTCCATTCATCGTGTTTTTTTAAGTTTTCTTTTCAGTCTGGGTTTTTTTCTAGAGCGAATGCTGAGCAGAGTGCAGTCAAGCACATGTTTGAAGCAATGTGTATTTTTTGCTTCAGGTTCCTCTGTTGCCCTTTCTACCCATCTTGAGTATATTTGTCAACGTGTATCTCATGGTTCAGCTCAGCGGAGACACGTGGATCCGTTTCTCCATCTGGATGGCCATAGGTACGTGCTAACTTTGGGTAAACACACACAGGATGCAATCCTAAACCACATTCAAACAAATCTAAAGGTCTCATTGCCGTTTCAAGGCTGTTTGCTTGAAAAACAGGCTTTATTGGAAATAAACTTAAGAAAACCCCAGAAAAGACCAGCTTAGATGAGCATGAATTTCCATGGTGGTCCAGGCTGGTTTTCACTGGTTAGGTTTATGCTGGTGGACAATTTGAAAGGATAGTTTATCCAGTGATGAAAATTTTGTCTATTTATTTACCCTCATTTTTGATCTAAACCCAAAAGCTTGTGTATAGTAAGTATATATATATATACATATATATATATATATAAAGTTATTTATATATAACTTTATATATATATAAAGTTAAACTACTCTGAAAAGCTAAAAAAATAGCTTTCAAGTAATGACTCTACATCAGTGTGGAGGCCTGAAAGCCATCACCCGCTACAAGACCCCATCCCTATAATGCACAAATCTGTACATAAATCTACTGTTCCAGATTCATACACATTATTTATTGTTAAGTTTTTTTTTTCTGTTCTCATGTCAGATATGTATGTATGTATGCATGCATGTATGTATGTACCAGGAGCACCTTAAAAAAACCACAACAAATTCCTTGTGTGTTTACACACACCTCGCGAATAAAGCTAATTCTGATTCAGATTTATATATATATATTTTATATAAATCTTAACTTTGACATCAATCCACAGGTTTCCTCATCTATTTTGGATATGGAATCTGGCATAGTGATGAACGTAAGAGGCATCTACAGAACTGTGGTGTTGCGACAGAGAAAAAGACATTGACAGGAAATGAAGGCACTGTGGAGTATGTGACGCACATAGAGAAGACTAGCCCATGTTAAAGAGCAGCAGATAAAACTATAATAGTAACTAGCTGTTATCCATGGCATTCACCAACCTGCTGACAGACATAAACTCTGTGTATTCAGCTCTGCCTTTACTGCCATCATGAACAATCACTGTAACACCTCTCAGTGCTGATGCTCTCACCTGTGATGTGATAGTAGGACATTAGGGGTGTGTGATCTGACAATGAAAATTTAATGCATTGATTGTGGAATTGATTCTGTTTGTATATAATTATGATTAATAGCAATAACTGAACATGAATAGTGACCAAATCTTTCTTTTTTTACATTTTAAATGTTATTAATTTTCATAGCATTGAATTGAATTGTCAGAGCAAATATTTTCACCCCTGTAAGACATACCTCTGTGTATAAGCAATTTGCTTTTAAATGTATTTGGAAGAGAAAGGGAAAGCATGTTTTTTTGTTTTGCTTTTTTGCATAAAAGTATTACGATTTCCACAGACAGTATCTTAAGATTACTTCCACTGTTAGTTTGTAAAAAAAAAAAATATATAAAAAAACAAAAAACAAATTATAGCATATATACTTAGTTCTAAAGGTATGAGACACATGTGTTAAAGTAATGTTCTTTTTAGCAGCATCATATGACCCCTTTAAATAATGTGGAACATCAGAAAAAATATTGGTAAAGCCGTGATAATGGTGAATGTCCAGCTTTCACAGCATGTCTACATGTTTGACTGTCTTGTTAAAGTGTTTAATTCTAAGATTTAGAATTAATACTGTTAACTTACTGTACGTGCCTGGGATGTTAAAGGGTTAATTCACCCAAAAATGAAAATTAGCCTGTGTTTTACTCACCCTCAAAGCATCCTAGGTGTATGTGACTTTCTTCTTTCAGACGAATCCAATCGGAGTTATATTAAAAATTGTCCTGGCCCCTCTCAAGCCTTTCAATGGGGGTAAGCGGGTGTTGGTTGTCAACAGTTGAGAAGACGTGAAATAAAGTGCGTGCATCCGTAATAAAACGTCCTTCACGCCGGCTCCGGGGGTGAATAAAGGCCTCCTGTAGCGAATCCATGCATTTTTGTAATATAAATATCCATATTTCAAATGTAATAAACACTTTTTTCTCACTTCCGCTGACTGTCATACGCAGAAGCCGTTCAGGCGGATGACGTAAGATGTCGACGTTGCGTGATTAGTGACGAACGCGGAGACAAAACAAAACAAAACGCCGTTCACGAATTTGAAGTACAAAACGAGGATTTGTAAAGAAAAATGTCGGGGGATTTCGACATGAGCCAAGAGGAGACTGGTTTTCCTTTGCTCCTGCATTTCTCAGAGGCACGCGCACGACACATACGTCTTACGTCATCCGCCTGCACGACTTCTGCGTATGACAGTCAGCGGAAGTGAGAGAAAAGTGTTTATTACATTTGAAGTATGGATATTTATCTTAAAAAATGCATGTATTCGCTACAACTGAAAGAAAAAAAAAAATCACATACACCTAGGATGCTTTGAGGGTGAGTAAAACACAGGCTAATTTTCATTTTTGGGTCAACTAACCCTTTAAGCTGCCTTGATAACACTAATTCACATTTTCTTGTATTCTGCTAAACACTAATTTTTTTATCTTAATCCATGTTACATGTGTTGTGTAATTGTCGCTGAATGTTTGACAGGGATATCCTACAATGTACAGTATTCATAGGTCAACCTGTTGTTTAACAACCAGAAGGTCTGATGATGTTGAAGCAAGTACGTATGTATGTTTTGTCTTGTAAAATTACCTTTTATTTACTTTATACACTTGCTAGATATTTTTTTTACTCTTTCAGAAATATTAATGAATAATCATTAATCTACACTAGTTCACTGCAGTCATTCAATACATGACAATCTGTTCAATCCAGCTAACTGATGCAAGTGGTGGTCTAAAAATGGACAACCTGAGCATCTGAAATTTTGAGTTGTAGATTGCAGTGTAAATTAGTCATAGTGAGGCTAAGATTGTGGCACAAGCATTAATAACAATGTGTTAATGTCTCATTAAATAATGCACATCAACTTCTGTTTATAGCCTTTGTATTATTTTATTTTATCATTATAATAGTTTTTTAATAATGGAAGTAATGTGTGGATTATGCCACTGTCAAAACATTGCAAAGTGGTTTCATACAAAACAATAAAATATTTCTCCCTTTTTAACAAAGTTTCCCCACATTATTTTAAATAAATATGCATTAAATCGTTTTATTTAAATTTTAATGGATTTTTTTCTTGATTGGTAGGTCTGTTGTGCCGTTCACTAGTTTCTCATCTTATACAGTATCATAAAATGTAGCTACTATTTCATATGAGTTCAAGTAATGTTAAATGTCTAACAAAAGAAGCTGATATTTGATTTCAAATTATTGCAACACTGCATTACTCAACTGCCAATGGAAACAGATTTCAGCATTATGCTTCAGTAAACAAAACACTGACTGCCCATTTAATTATAGTATAATGTAAAATAGCAGTATTGATAAGGTGAACTCTATTTGTAAAGCATGGGTATACGTTAAAATGAATGATGGACAGAAATATCTCACATATGAACCTCTACAGCAGTGGTCGCCAACCCGTCGATCGCGATCGACTGGTAGGTGTTGCCAAGTCCGCGGTTTTCCCGCAGAATTGGGCTACTTTAACACTGTTGCCGCGGGTTGTTGTTCATGTCCGCGGGTTGAAGCGACCCCAATAACGTGATATTTAGCCCCTGGAATGTGAATTTTACTGGAAGATCCCCGGCGAAAAACGCGTTTTTACCCCCCGAATGCGATTTTTACAGGGGAACCCCCCTCGAAACGCGATTGGACTAGTTTTATTGCGAAAATTTGGCAACCCTGTTCATTAGTGACACCTGCTGTCAGAGAGCGTGACTCATTCAGACCCTGCTGTTGTTTCGCGCAGATGTTTTATGTAGCGTTGGTGACCACTGCTCCACAGAATAGTTCACCCAAAAATGAAAATCTGCTGTTAATTTACTCACCCCCAGGCCATCCAATATGTAGGTGACTTTCTTTTTTCAGTAGAACGTTAAAGAAGATTTTTAGTTGAACCCAACGAGCACCGTCACTTTGAGAGTCCAAAAACGCAAATGCAAAACATTAAATGAATCCACGTACACAGCTCCTGACGATATATTGAGGTCTTATGAAGCGCAAAGATCGGTCTGTGTAAGAAACGAAACATTATTTATGACATTATTACCTGTAATCCACAGCCTCAGACAAACAGTTCTGCGCGCGAGTCTTCGCTCACAACGCACGCAAGGCCACGAACTCACGTAGCGAGGACACGTCTGCAGAAGGCGGTTTGATTTAGCAATATATTTTTATTTTCAGTATATTGTATTGTATTGTTCATCATTGGGTACTTACTTTTTTATCCTGGATGAAAAAAAATCTGTAAAAATAGGGTATAACGTGAAGGAATTTTCCATAGGCCAAATTATCTGTTTACATGTGATTTACCTGTGTTTAGAATTTTGCACTTCATTGCGTTGTGTTTTAGGATTAACGAAAATGTCCGTAAAATTACTAGACAATTAACAGCATTTTTTTTTTTTTTTCATTTTCGAGTAAACTATTCTTAAAAATGTGAAAGACTTTATCTGGATTATGAGGCCAATAGCGCAAATAGCTGCAGTCCAGCAGAGGGCATTAGAGGATCACACACTGACACTGAGGGGGGAGTGTGTTAGATGGGCTGGGGAAATTCCTCTTTTTTTCACATGGATGGAGCTGACTGTGTGTAAACGGGACAGACGTGCGCCCTGCTGGAGCTCTCCACTTCAGCCATCATGAAGCTCTGGCTCTTCTTCACACTGGCACTGCTCTGGCTGGAGGTCCAAAATGGTGAGCAGATCTCTTTTATTTTTTTATGCCTTGTTATTATTACTTCAAAACATGAAGAAAGTCTATCTCTTGCTCGAAAAGAAAATAAATTGAGAGATGTTTCTGGATGAACGTGTATGTGCCAGTGGTGCCAATGGAAACCAAATTCCAGAGTAGAAAGGGGAGGAGAGATTAGATCAGGGCAGAGTTTAACTTAAATTTACGCTTAAATTATACAGCAGAGACAAAAATTAGAGAATCAAATATGTTTGCATCCTAACAAGGTAACTTTTTTTTTAATGATTTTTTTATTTTCATTCAAACATAAATCAGAATCAAAAGATCTGTATACAATATTCTTCTAGACCTCATGATCCTTGCATGTGTCAAAAATGAATTTAAAAGGAATTTGTGATTCAATGAACTTCAGTATTGTTCAGTTTTGTACGAGAAAGGCATACTTCCAGCACTGCTGTTTGTACAGCTGTTAGCTGAAGAATATAGAGCAGATTTCCAGATGGCAGAAACCTCTTTCGCTTGCTCTCTCTCTCTCCTTCTTTTTTTTTGGCTTGGTCATAGGAGTTATAAAGTGTCACAAAGAGAGAAATGAAACACATATGCTGTATTATGTTTATTGCCTACTAGCAGTGAATAAATTAATGTTATTGCTCTTTAGAACTTCCCCATGTAAAGTTTGCCCGTCACATCCAAATGCTGAAACAACACGCTGTTGACTAGGAAAACTGTGTTTTGGTTTACCCAGGTGTGTGTCAGCAGGTCAAGCGTAAGAAAGAGGCTGGTGAGAACCGCATTAGAACAGAAAGAAAGAGGGTGAAGGTTCGCTACCCCAAAGTAAAAGAAAAGGAGATAGGAAGCAAGGGCCAGTCTATTCTCACCCAGGTCCTTGATAAAGGCCGTTTTCTCAGATTGGGCGAGAGCCTTTCTTTGAATCCTGGGAAAACACTGGAACTGAGATGCAAAGGGACTAATATAGGTTGGGCGTATCCCTCTTATCTGGACACCTTCAATGACAACCGCCTCAGGTATTCTTCTTTCTCATTTGATCTATTCATTTAATATAGTAATCATGTTTTTTTTTGGCGTATTGATTACCAACTGTATAACAGTTCTACTACAAATACCATGGTTAAACTATGGTTAGTGTAGCAAAACCATGGTTAATTTGTGGTTACCATGGTTTAACTATAGTAACCATGGTATTTGTAGTAAAACTGTGGTTATACAAATAGTAATCAATACACCAAAAAACATGGTTACTACATTTTTACTACAATAAAACCATGGTTAATTTTCATTACAAGATTACACTGCATGTAAATAAATACAACTTTCTATTTTAATAAAAATAA